CAATTGGTGAAACAAAGGCCCCATATTATGAGCAGTGATCGGACTTTAAAAAATTCTGTGTGGTAGAAATTGGAAAAAATGTGGTACTTCTCTGGGTTTGGATCAGACTTAGTACAAAAATTAAAAAAATCCTGCAAGGTTTCACCTAAATTGCAAACTTTTTAATTAGACTCAAAAAAAAAATAATAATTTTAGTATAATAAAGTGCAAGATTGAAGTTGCTAAAAATTGCGTTGACTTTAGGCAATTTTTTTCCTTGACAGTGTAAAGTAGTTCCTTCCATATCAAGATATTTTTCAAACATATTTTAAGAGATTTCTGCAACCTTGCGGAGTGCTGCCAGTTTTTATTTTTATCACATCACGATGTAGCGAACAAATGTGCCACGTTCCAGAAACCGCTACTTGAGATTTGCCGATTTTGACAATTCTCAAGTAAAAGTAAACAACGTCTCAGAGACTTTAGATGCACTTAAATTTGCTAATACTTTCACAAAAATCGCCGTTTTTTAAGACATTCGCTATTAATTCTTTTTATAAATCATATATTTTGCAATTTAACACAATAAAACCACGTTTCCTGTCGAAAAATGTATTACTGCTAAAATTTACTATTTTACAGTTTATTTTATCCTCCCATTCGGCTTTGTTTACTTTTACTTGAGAAATTTCATCGTCGCTGGGAGTGCGAAATCTTTTATTATATCATTCACGTTACCATATAGTGTTTAATGTTGTACAATTTTTGCTCTTAAAATTAAGAAAATTATGTCGAGTAAAAATAAAACTACTCAAAACCCCGAATATGTGGTAGATTTCAGACCTTTAGTGGTAGGTGTGGTAGATGCTCAAAAAAGTGGCAGATCTACCACAATGTGGTAGAAGTCCGATCACTGATTATGAGTTGCATTCGATCTTCGACTGTGGTCGAAAGTGCTGATCGAACGAATTTTAATTTTGTATGACGAGGAATAGCGCTAAATAGTGTGCTTATACATATTTATGTAAATGTGTAAAAAAGAAAGTTCATACAAATTTGGTAAAAATTAGCACAACGGAGTTCTCGTTCGTGGATTCAGAGTCAGAAAATGAGAGTTTAGTGAACTGGCCAGGAGCAGAAAATGTTTAAGTAGAGTCTTTCGAATGTATTTGGACATACAATATATTTTTAAGAAAATTTATTAAAAACTTCCGACTGTCTAAAGAGGCTTTTGTAGACCTGCTGTCCGCTACACAAAACCTGCTGCGGCAATGCTTTCGAGCCAAATCTATTTAAAATATTTCAAAATTATCAACAGCTCTACGATTTTGTTCTCAGAGATCGTGCCAACTGAGTATTGCGATTTTCCTTCATAAGTGAAACCTGAACTTCGAGCTTGTGTTTAATATTCACGACGTTAGACCTGCATGAAATTTATAAAAAAAAATTTAAAATTAGTGTCCAGCCGCCAAACGCAAAATCATATATTCTTCACAATTTTCTAACACTTCGACACATCATCGAAAGCAAAATTCTGTTCGGCAGAAAATTCGATACTCAAGGAAAATTTCGACACGGTTGCATAGCTCATAATACGAATTTCTCATTCGATCTTCGATAACCAGCGAAGATCGAAAATCGAATTCCACTCATAATAAGGGCCAAAACGCATGTAGGTCAAAATCCAAAGCCTTGCTTCGCCAGTGCGCGAAAAACAGTCACAGATGAATTCTGTTTACTTATCGTCGCCTGGGTAAAAGATTGTCGTATGTTAATTTCGGTAGGTTGTGGGAAATCGCGATTGAAGTTTGGAATAAAATTTCTCAAAAACGCGAAGATAGATTTTCTCCAAAAACTCTACGTTGTATGAAATACGACGCAATGTGATCAAAATTTCTACTAAATTAATGACACTTTTTACTCAATATCTGGGAAACTAAAGGATTATTGATTAGTTTAATATGACTGCATCACTAACTAAATTTTTACTAAATTATCGAAAAAACTGCATCTAGAATTAAAAATCATCAAAATGGCGATTACGACAATCTTTTACCCAGGCGACGTTATGAGAATTTTTTCACTGTGGAAGAATCGTTCAATAAACAGAGTGGTAGGGTACATATATGCTGCGACATTACGAACTCCTAACTCGCTCCGTGGGTTCAACGCGGCGTTATTTGTTTTTCAACAAGTACTTAATTGAGTAGGGACAAACTTTTTCGCTTTTTATTCTGGATTATTTTTCTTTTATTTAACTTCCATTATTTTTCAATTAAGATTTGTACACTTTTTGTTGGGTCATTGGTACAAAATGAAAAAAGTTGGACAAAAATTTTAAACAAAAATTTTGAATTAGTTGTGCATATTTATTTTGCTTAGGTTGAAGTACATATTTACATAGACTGAACAAAGTTATAATGAAAACTAAACTTACTTAAGTAAGTTACATTAGATTAAAATTAATCTAGAGTTAAAAATTGGAGCATGTAAACGAACGATCCATATATTAAAGTAAAATTAACAAATAAAGGTGGACATGACAATAACAGTGTATGTTGTGTGTCACGCTTTGAGTGAGGCTTTAAGTAAAATTAATTTATTATAAGATCCCTATATTTAGTTCATGCACGCAGATACCTACCTATATAGCTTTACATATTCAGAGCCGCCCAGAATGTTTATAAGTTCTTGAAAATGGGGCGCAAACCAATGAAATGATGAATGTTTTCTGCTTCTCCCAAGTTCCAGATTAAACAGTTCTCAGAGGATACCTTTTTTAATGCTCTGGAACTGAGATCCACCTGGCAGATGATCGTGGAAATCATTTAAGTATAAAGAAAACAGTACCAAACTTAGTTGGCAATCAAATTCATACTCACGGAGAAAAATGGGCGTCTTTGGAAAATAGGCGTGGCACCTCCCATATTAACTTAAACTTTCATATCTCTTCAAATATTTGGGGTAGAGTACCCAAGCTTGGCATGGAGATATGTATGTATGTGAAATAAATCTCATACCCATAGCGAAAAGTGAGAGATATTGGACAAGAGGTGTGGCAACTCCCATGCAAATTGATTTTTTTAGAGAACTGGAACTTGGCACCGGGATGTGTATACAAAATTAATTATATGCTCATGGAGAAATATTGCGATTTTCCGAAAACGGGACGTGGTACCTCCCGTACAAATTTACTATTTTATACTGCATATCTCTAGAGGTGTTTATGGTAGAGTAATGGCACTTGGCATTGGGATATATAAAATCAATTTCATTCTTATGGAAGAAAATTAGGTGTATAAGAAAGGGGGGCGTGGCACTTCACGTACAAATTGACTGTTTCTTAGCACATATCCCTGAAAGCGTTTGTGAAAGAATACTGGAACTTGAGTTATGTATGTATATAAAATTTATCCATTTTTCAAAGGAAAAATTGTGAGTTATTAGAAAAGACCTCCCATACATTCTAAAATTTGCATAATACATATCTCCTTTTAGATATAAATCCGTATGTGGGTACCCAGGTACCCCGGTTGGACTAAAACGTTAATTAATTTAGTTGGGTACACCAGCGTTAAACAAGTAAAAAAGTTTAAGTTCGGGCGGAGCCGAACATTAAATACCCGGCGCAAGCACTAAATATAGTTTTTTCACCTTTCCGAAAACTACCGCTACATGGTAAGTATCTTCGATAGAACGTCCAGATAAACTTGTATATAATTATATTTGGGCTGTATCACGCCCATTTTCAAAATTTACCTTAATAATGTTAGTTCTTTTCAAGGGATTGTTGTTAATATAAATTTTGAGTAAATTGACGTCCTTGAATTTCGAAATATCAAGTTTCAAGCATTTCTGAAATGTGCTCTTATATCAAAACTGGGCGAAATTTTAGTCCGATTTGAATAAGTTTCAACGTTTTGCTTTTATCTCGCTAGAACAATAATCGTACCGAGTTTGGAACAAATCGGTAGAACGGTTACCGAGATACCTAAATGTGGTCATTAGTGGGCGGTGCCACGCCACGGTTACCAAGTTACACAAATGTAATCATAAGTGGGCGTGGCTAAGCCCATTTTCCAGAAATTTATTATAGTCTTTATTTTCGTATAAAAATCATTGTAAATATCAGTAGTTACTAAAATATCGCAATTTTCTTATTTCTGAAAACTACCGTTATATGGGAGGTAGGCGTAGTCATTTTCCGATTTTGCCTATTTTCAATACCATCCGTCCTACGCCGAAAAGCAGTACACATACCAAGTTTCGTTCAGATATCTCATCTCTCTGATCATTTATGTATCCATTTGTCTATATCTATCTCCATTCGTTTTGGCTGTTACAAACAGCCGCTATGTGAACAAAGTTCCAATACCCTTGTGCCCATCTGACATCATATTCGAAATCAGCGACCACAAAAACCCCCATTCAAATTAGTTTAGTTACTTCTGGACATTTGGCCAGCAAATAGTAGTCGCCAGACCATAGCGCATTGCATCAGTTAAAGCCGCTTACATATTACACACCATCTGCAAAAGTGATACAAATCAAAACAACACGTTCGTCAGAAAATGCGAAAAACTATTTCGTAGCACATGTTAATCATATGGCCAAGGGAGACTTTATCTTATCAAATTATAACAAAAATTAGGTCCAAATTTTGCTTGAAAATAAATACATTCTCTGTATGCGTTTTTAGTGCATAATTTCAGAAATGCAAAATTTTGAGATATGTCACTTTTGAAGATCGTGTGCGATATGTGTATATACCAAGCGGTTTTTTTTAAAACAATTTTTACAAAATGTATTGAGCAATTATAATTGTATTTTTATTCGCATTTTCTAACACCAAAAAAGTAATTGCCTCCCATTAATGAGCAAATTATCAAAATTGAATCATCGCAGGCGTGATTCAATATAATGAAGCTGAAACGCGAAAGCGTATGGCACTTTTTATACAAATAAATTAATTATAATGAAATTTGCTATAAAAATCCGCTTTTGCAAGCCATGAAAATCAGTTGAAAGTTGTTATTTGTAGTGACTAAAATATGAAGGCAAGCTTTGTGTATTTTGCAGTGATTTGCGTATTTGTGGTACGTAAAAATTTCAGAGAAAATTTAGAAACTGGATTTACCTAATCGTTTTCGATTACAGCACTATGCGAATGCGCAGGATACTACAAGTGTGGATTGCACCAAAAAGCCACGTCATGTTGTGAGTGAACTTTATTTTAGCAGAATTTTTTATGAAATGTGCAAACGAACCGAACTAACAATTTACACCCAATGAAAACAGCCTCCACACATGTGCTGCCCAGTGCCTGACCTCACCACCGATGAACTAATGCAGAAATGCGCCCAATTCGCCGAACCACCACCGCCGCGACCACCTTCCAGTGAAGAACCACCAATGCGTGGACATCCACATCCACATGGACCACATATGCATCCTGTAAGCGACCATTTGTGCATTTGGGGACACATTTTTATGCATCGTATTTATGTATATATTTTAAAACGTGTTAACTTTTTTTCGCTTCTTTTTGTTTGTATATTCAGTGTTTCATGGAATGCATCTTCAATCAAACTGAAGTCATTGGCGAGGATGGTGAACTCAATGCGGATAAATTTGAGCAGCTGCTAAACACAGTTGTAAAGGACGATAGGGAAATGGCTATAATTATGAAAGAATCATTCAATGCTTGCTCTGCCAACGCCAACGAGTTGAAGACGAAAATCGCCGAAGAGATTGAAAAAAATCCGGAGTTTTCCAAACAAAAATTCCAACCCCTCTGTTCGCCTTTTAGTGCTATGACAATGGGTTGTATCAAAATGCAGACATTCCAGAATTGCCCATCATCTACATGGAATGATAATGAAGAATGCAATGCTTTCCGTAAATTTATTATGGAATGCAAAAAGCCTAAGTAAGGGCTGTTTTCCTACAAATACACATATGCATATATAAGTATGTATATACATATATTCTTACGCATCATGTTAAATATGTATTTGCATATGTTTTTGTAAGTACTTTGTGGGCGCAATAAAAATAATTTGTTCATATTATAAAGTAAGAAATGTTTTTGATTAACTGATAACACAGTTCTGCAACCAAATCTAGGGGGAGCGTTCATGTTTGTAGGGTATATTTATGTGCATATTTAAATAGCAAACTCCAAATGCATCTTTAATTTTTTGAAAAGTGTGCGATTCTCCCACTTAGTGATATTTTAAGTATCTGGTAAACGATGAAAATAATTCTAATGAGAACAGGAATTCGCACTCATGGTATTGGATATTTACTCCCATCGTAGAGTAAAATCATCCATTCTCATTACAAATTAGCTAGTTAGAATGAGAGAGTGAATTCCGATTCCCATGAGAATTATTCGCAACGTTTACCAGAACCTGTAACCCCGTCGCAATTTGCATTTGGTACAGATTGGCGAAGCGGCTTTCGATGTACACCAGTGATTCCCAAAGTGGTCCAGGTGGACCCCCAAGGGGCCACGGGAGACTCGAAAAAAATATGGGGGTCCACGAGTAAATAAACAAAATGGTTGCTTGATAGCCTATTTATTTAACTTAAATTTTTTGAGTGGTGTATAGTGCTCTTGAAGCACTGGTGAACTTACCGCCTCCTGCAGACTAAAAAGTAACGGATGTTGGTAGTACACTGAGTGAGGCGATGTGGAAATTGCCAGCGGCAGATATTTGAGCACTTGTGTCTTTTGAATGCTACATGATAGTACGCCACCATTACCTTTGTTGAAGAGATTCTAGAGAGAGAGAGTTCGATGAGGGGAAATGCTGGTATAATTCCAGCACTCGTACATTGTCGAATCTACACTGATGGCTCCAAAACAGACTCAGGGTCAGGATCTGGAGTATTTTTCGAGGTTAATGGGGATAAGCTTTACTTTTATCTTGGCGAATATGTTTCAGTCTTCCAGGCTGAGGTATTTGCAATCCCCAAAGCCATAGACTACGTGGTGGAAAATAGGTGGAGGGGAAGGAGTTTACGTATCTACAGGTACAGCCAAGCTGCACTTAAGGCTATTGGTCAGACCTCTATCTAAGTACTTTCAAACTAGTTCGGCAATGCAAGTCTCCACTTAATTATGTTGGCTTTACTCTGCGTGCCTGAAAATGAGACATCTGACTACCCCACTTCGACCATCGAAGCCACCATCAGAAACAGGTGGACAAAACTCATGTTGCCTTCAATCTCAGAAGGTCTATCTACGTGGCACAAACACCTGACTGTGATAAAAGGCATAAATGACAACTCCATTTGCCCATCCTGCTTTGAAGAGGATGAGACGGTGGAACACTTCTTGAGCTTCTTGTTTGCTTGTTTGTTTATCGTCGCGTTATCTAGATTCGGTATTTTCTTTTTTGTTAGTTTCTGAATTTAAAGTTTGGCGTAAAAAGCTTTGCTTTGTTTGAAGTTTCGTGATTTAAAAGTGCGAAGCGATAAAAATAAAAATTGTGCCATCAACACAAATAAACTATTTGACAAATACATCACATACAAATTCATGAGTGAGCTCTTAAAAAATATAACTTCTCAGAGCGAGATAGTCCTTTCATGGCCTTACGAGCTCTGTTTTTAAAGCTTGCAATTGTATAATCACATCAATTATATAAATAGGCAATCATGTTTCCTTTACACCCCTTTTACGGCTAAACTGTACTTCTAAGGTATAAACAATTATATATCATTATAAAGGTATTTTGATGCTGATGTGCAGGCAATTTTTAAAATTTTAAATTAGTTTAAAATAGAGCGAAAAAATCAATTCAAAAGTCACACCAATACCAATGCCATACATGTACATGGTTGGGGCGGAAATGCCTCCTAAATGTATGCTTTAATATTGATAGTGAATTA